TTCATTTGAACTCGGTAATCTGGTGACATACCTCCTCTCTGCTGCGCGGCACTCTGACAGGCGGAGAGACTCTGGTGTACATCAGAACTCCATCTGGAACACAAACAGGATTCTGAAAGCATTTCAGCCTATCACATGGTACACAGTGTTTGTTGAGGGTTACCACTCTTTCCTCTCACCTATCAGGCCAAAGCGCTTGGACATCCGTTTCAAAGCACCTCTGCTTTTCTTGCTTTGCAAAGGCAAGACCCTGTGGCTCAGATACCTGCAGAACCACAACACGCTCAATAAAATGAAACCCTGATCAGTCACTTGTGTGAGAAGGTGGCTACCTGGCGATGTGGTTGTAAGTCGAGAAGCTTGGCTCGACGGTGGTCTTCCTTCTCTTGAACTCCTTCCCTGTTTGACCCTCCATGGAGTCCAGATCAGGGGTTGGGAGGCAGTACTGGTGTTCCTGCAGCTCCACTGGGGTTTCCAAAGCCGGATCAGAGGATTCTGTGGTTTCTGTAGCAGCAGCAGCTGTGGACAGAAGGTCTTCCAGGATGTTGGAGTGAAGAAATTCATCATCTGAAGGGACGGCCCCCTGAAAACCAAAAAGGAGCACCTGATGAGGTCCAAACTCTCTGCAGGCCTGAGTGGGAGAAAACAGCTTTGCCACCAAAGCTCAACAGCGCTGAAGCATTCCTGCTTGCTGTGGAAGCATTATGGGATGTCCATCCACCAAATAAGTCTGCAAATATCAGTAATTTAAAAACATAGAATGTTTGTAAGTTGTCAAACTTTCTTAATTATCTCCAGGTTTACATTTTAACATGACACATTCCAGGCTTAGGGTTAGTACAGGTGTGTCAGTGTACCTGCTGTCCAATCACCAATCAGCTGCTGCTGATGAGGTCTTACAATGATTTCGTCAAACTGTGTTTATCTTTCTTAGCCAGCAGAAACAGACTCTCCAATCCACCATATCTATTCTGCTTATTTCATCGTCTTGATGTTGCTGCTCTCTGAGCCGGAGTCCTAGTTACGGGTTTCAGACCCATCGTTAAGATGTGACTTCTCATTCTGGGTAGTGATCTAGATTCTACTACGTGTCTGTGAGGTTTGTTTCACAATGAAGCATCTTACAGGCAAACCCTGGTCAGTTCAGAGCTCTGACCCAAACCCTTCTATCAGCACACGGCTTTGTTATGATGACCCTCGTCGCTGTGGGAGCTGCTGCAGAGGGAACCTGTGTACAGGTGTACGTACAGGTGTACAGGTATAAGTATAGTTTTTAATTAAACTGTTTGTGTGTCTGCATTGTGTCACCTCGTCCTCCTGCACAGTTTCAGGTACGATGGTCGGTACAGCGTCCGGTGACAGCGTCAGCTGACCTTCCTTGCTCAGCGTGAAGCAGGACGAATCAAAATGTCGCGAGCAGATGTAGGAATTTGAGCGCAGCGAACCTTCGTCCCTCTGAGCTGCCGCCAGCCACACCTGCCGCCGCTCTGCCTCCTCTGGAAACCTAGAGCCCATTTCACTGTTGTTAAATACTCTGCCTTTGGGTTTTACTTTGAGCAAACACAACAGTTCCTATCACTGACACTTCACTGTAGCTTCGACCAAATCATGGCTGTCTGTTCAGCTCCAGGAGGCGCTGCATTACTTTAAAATGCTACATGGCTGAAAGCTACACAAGATTAAACCCAGAATGCCTCGTCAACATGTTCTGCCTCCGTCGATTATGATTTAAAATATGACAATCAGTTCTGTTAGCACTAACTTTTTCCACTTTAAGTCTCTTCTAAAATTAGAATCGTTCCTGTAGTTTAAAGATGTGGAGAGAAAGAGGAGAAACATGTGAGAGCTGCAATAATTTACTGATCAGGCATCCACGACTGAATGAATTATTCAGTTTGAGGGACGGTTAGTTAAATTCACAATTCTGTGTCTGCAGCTTCTTCAATGTGAATATTTGGAGGTTCATTCCTCCTCTTTAGCAAATAACTGAAAATCTTTACACGGAACAAGATGCTTGTCGCCATCTTGGACTTTGGGAAACAGAACCATATTTTTTCACTATTTTCGGACATTTTAGAGACTAAACGGCTGATTAATCCACACAGAAAAAATAACAGATCAACAGACTGTAATTATCGGTACTTGCAGCTCAAACTGCTGTGAAATACATGGATTCATTTATTTATTGTTATCTGAACCAAACTCCACATCTCTCAGATCGTCTGTCCAGTTCTCACTGTTAGGTCTTGTCATGCTATTAATACCTTTAAAATGTCTTTCTTGATTGTAATAACCATACAAACTAAACAAATGTACACAGAGTCCCGTTAATCACAGATAAGGACTGTTTGGTGTTAGACAAGTATATATATTATATATATATATATTCACCTGCATCCTTATTGTCCACCATGAGCAGATTTCATCCCTTATTTCTGTGCATGGACTGAAAGCAGCAACCATAAAGAAACTGTTTCGATTCAGGGAAAAATCCGATCAACATGTAAGAACAGCCTCGGTTTGCTTTTTCACCTGTGACCATGTAAGCTCTGACCTGTGGAAGCTGAGCTCGGGGTGAACGTAGCTGGAGGCATCGCAGCTGTAAACCAGGCACAAGTGGACGGGCGGGTTGAGAGGTCTGGGCCGAGCTCGGCTGCGACAGACGACGCAGGCTTTGATCCATTTCTTCACGGCTGCCGTCACTCCCACCCAGTAGTACATGAGCTGGACAGACAGAAGAGACGTCACAGCCCAACAGCTTCTTATCAAAAACTCTGTTTTTAGAAACCAGGTTAAATTCGATCAAACCTGTCAAAGGAAGACTCCATCCGGGTCGCTGCTCGTGCATTTGACTGGACAACCAGAGCTGCTTGCATTGTTTATGTATTTACTGTTTATTAGGTGGTTTTTTCCTGTAAAATCTGAGAGAGCGCGTTATCTCTCTGGTAGGCGCTTGCCATCTTTGCACATCTTTGTCTTTTGCATACTACAATCCCAGCGGACAGCGAGTCACCAACACCAGACACGTTCTGCTGCGGTTCCCCACCATGCCGTCACCACCAACATGATTCCTGAGGGAATCCTTCAGTCCTTCTAAGACAGAGGACTAAAGCAACAACATAAAGAAGGTAACCAGGAGGGGGAAGGAGAAAGAAGGTGGCGTCAGAGCCAGACTGAACACCGAGTGCTGCTCTCAGTCATCCTGGCCACCAAACAGACGAGCTGCAAGCCACATGCATGAATATAGGTCTGCCACAGGTCTGACATTTACAGAAACCTGGTTCAATAAGAAGGACAGTGATGACATGCTGCACGTTGACGGCTTCACCGAGCACACCGGAAAACAACATGGTGGCGGCGTGTCTCTATGGAAACACAGAGTGGAGCTGAGCAACACCGACATCGACCTTCTGTCTTCCAGAGGATTCCTTCAGCTCTTTTTCTACCTGGTTTACATTCATCCCACAGCAAACACTACAGCAGCCCCTGAGCACACAAAGAACACTGCAGATAGACTCGATCTCATATCCCAGACTCCCAGATTCATCCTGGGAGGCTTCAGCCACTGCTCAGCTGACAAGTCGCTGAAGGGATTTCAATAAGATATCACCTGCACCACCTGCCCAGGGAAGACTCTGGACAACTGGTACGGATCCGTTCCAGATGTGGGTCTATTACTCTTCCCTTCTGGGCTCTGCTGACCACCAGCCTACACCCCAGTAATGAGGAGGAGGACAGAGAAGCTTGCCAAAAACATCAAGCAGTGGACAAATGACAGCATGGCAACTCTGCAGGGGTGCTTCGAATCCACAGACTGGGACGACCTCCAGCAGCATCAGCAGCAAGCAGGCATCTGTGTGGACAACGTCATTCCCACGAGAAAGGGAGCAATCTCCCCTGACAACAAACCTGGATCACCAAAGAGAAAAATTGCTCTACACTGGCACTGGAGCTAAAACAAGGAGGTGAACAGGGAGGTAAAACATGCCATAAAGTGCCAAGCTGAAGTATAAGAACAAGGTGGAGAAAACATTCAGTCACGTGAGTCTCAGCTTGGCAGCAGACTAGAAACAAGGCTGCTGTAAACAGCACTCTCAGGAACATCCAGGTGGCAGGCAGCAGCCCAGCATCCCTCCCCCATGACCTCAACTTCTTCTTTTCCAGAAGTAAAACAAACAACAACACCCAGGTAGATGCAGTCGCTCCTGCCCCCTGGACTGGACCCCCCACCTCCTGGACCGCACCCCCTGCCTCCTGGACTGGACCCCCCATGCCCATCCTGCTGTGACTCCCCCCTTGCATTGAGACACTGCAGACTGACACATGGCAGACATGGTACTGAACATACTTGCGTTCAATCCACCTGCACCTTAATGATTTATCTGTTGATCCAACTGCTCTGTGCTCCTGAAGATGCTCCCAGGGGGTAAATAAAGTTGATTGAATTGAACTGAACTTTCAGCGTTAATGTTGTTGAACTCACCATTATCTCCTTCACCATCCGGACTCGACCGGCGTGGTTATTGTTGTCATGGTAACGCAGCAGGATGTCCCGAACCTCCTCGTCGCTCCTGACAACGCGGAGAAGGCGGCCTCGATAAGCTCGCCACAGAGAGCCATCTGGTGGAAGGAGGGGGAACTACAGCCTTTATACTGTTTATTACAGGAGCGTTACAGATTCCTCAGCTGCTGTGTCAATGACATTTATCTGAACGTGTGTTTGCTGCTGTTTCACTGTAATCTGTGCAGTCATGTGGCTGCTGTCGCGCTCATTAATTACCTTTGTAGATGAAGCGTTTGCTGGCAGCTTTGGTCGCTTTCTTTGAGCTCTTTGATGCATTTACAGGAAACTTTCCCGTCTGGATAAAAAGCTCCAAGCTATCCAAGAAGCTGAAAGAAGGCATCTGTTCACGAAGAGAGACGTTAAACTTGAGCTTATCAATTCAGAAACAGGATGACAGCTGCAGCTATCGGTCCAATAATCCCCAGCTGCTCTGATGAATCAATTATAAATCACCATGAATACATGAAATACAAATAAATACTGAGATTAAGAAATGTTTTTGTCATCAGAGACAGTAAACTTATTATCCTCAGGCCTCATCCTGTTTGTTGTTCAAAACTAAAATACTGAAGACAGCTGTGTTTTGAACATTTAGTCATTTGCGTTCACAATTATTACAAAACAAAACAAAAAATACATTCATTAGTTGAAAAAATAAGAAGTGAAACCAGAAATAAAAACAACTTTTCATCCAGTTTATTTGTCATTATTATTATTTGTTCTTTATTTTATTAACTCTTTACAGT